GTGTGTGTGTGTGTGTGTGTGTGTGTGTGTGTGTGTGTGTGTAAAACAAGCCAAAACTTTCCTTCCCACACACACACACACACACAAACACAGAGAGATATTTAGAGGGAATCAAAGGATATTACTTTCTGTTTGGTTTTAGATAATTTGCAACGAAAGCAGAACATAGAGAACAGAAGAGAAGAGGAAGAGAAGATAGAATAGAATAGAATAGAATAGAATAGAATAGAATAGAATAGAATATAGAATAATATATAAAATAGAATAGAATAAGTTAGAAAATATAATAATATACAATGGAATAGAAAATAGAATAGAATAGAATAAATTAGAAAATAGAACAATATATAAAAGAATAATATATAAAATAGAATAAATTAGAAATTAGAATAATATAGTAAATAGAATAAATTAGAAACTAGAATAATAAAGAATAGAATAGAAGATAGAATAGAATAAATCAGAAAATAGAATAAATTAGAAAATAGAATAATACAAAAAATAGAATAATATAGTAAATAGAATAAATTAGAAACTAGAATAATAAAGAAGAGAATAGAATAGAGAATAGAAGATAGAATAGAATAAATTAGAAAGAATAAATTAGAAACTAGAATAATACAAAAAATAGAATAATATAGTAAATAGAATATAGAATAGAATAAATTAGAAACTAGAATAATATAGTAAATAGAATAATATAGAAAATAGAATAATAAAGAATAGAATAGAATAGAGAATAGAATAGAATAAATTAGAAAATAGAATAATATAGAAAATAGAATAATATAGAATAATATAGAATAAAAAATAGAACAGAATAGAATTAAAATTAAAATTAGATTTAAAATTAGAATTAGATTACAATACAATAATAAAACACAAACACATAAAATACACTATACAATACACAATACAAAAACTTCATTTGGCCAAGTGTGATAATACACCCAAGGATTTTGTCTCTGGTGCAGAAGTTCTGATTTGGGCTCTGAGGATACAACAAGATCACAGCCTCCTAAAGTTGGTGGAACTTTTGGGCGTGTTGCGTGGTTAGCTGTTGTTGTTTTGGGTTGGCGTGAATTCCATGTCCATCCCAATCACTTTGGAGACACGGTCCAACCCGTCTGGAGGCTTCAAGAAACTTAAGTTTATGGGCCAGCGTCTGAACTCGTCCCTTACAAAGGTCTGGACTTCACCTTTCCAGATGTGAAGTCTTCACCTCCCCAGAGCTGAGGATTGAAATATGCACAAAGCCCAACAGAGCAGTTGAAGGCCTCTAAAAGTTCTACTAGAACTTCTTGAAGGCTTCTTGGTGGGTCCTGATGGGAGAAGAACTGGACTGAACTTCTACACCATGGATGGTCCTTCTTAAAGCCCATCTCCTCACCTCTTTTTTCTCTCTTGGTCTTTTTCAAACAAAGAATTAGGATATCAGGAGAACATTTCTTGAATTTGTCTTCTGCAGGTCCTGGAAAGTGGCATCTTGGACCGGATATCCCCAGAAGAACGTAAGAGGCAAGAGGTGAGCGAAGGTGTGGATGGAACACCCATCTCCTTGGGAAACGGGAGGTCTTCTTGAGAGCCTCGAAGCATTTTTCTGTGGCCTTTCATGATCTTCAACCCAACTCAACGTTCAAAAGAAGAGATGGAAAAGGCCTTGGGCATCTGGTGGCCACCAGGAGAGCCCCACAAGGGCCAAATTTAGGAGAGCTACAGAAAGATAGGGAACCAGCCTGGGGAATTCTGGGAGTTGAAGTCCATCCATCCAGAATTCCGGGAGTTGAAATCCACACATCTTAAAGTTGCCAAGGTTGAGGAGCAATGTTAGGTTCCAACATAGCTTCTCCTTAAGCCAATTTAACGATGATTGCTTCATTCTAAGACCACCCCAATTACTGGTCCTAGCTTAGGCTTTCCAAGCTGTCTTCCTTCCCCAATGAACCTCAACGAAGAGTCAACAGGCCATCATTCGCCCACCTTCACCGTCCTCTCCCATCATCTCTCCATCTTCCCCCCAGGCCATCTTTGAGATCATCACCTCGGAGTACTCTTACCTTCATAGCCTGACCATCCTGGTGGAGCATTTTCTGAAATCGGACGGGTTGAAGGAGACCATGACCCCGATGGACCATCATCACCTCTTCTCCAACGTGGGGGACATCTTGGCGGTCAGCAAGAGGTCAGTTTTGGGGGACAGGGGGGAAGCAGCGCGGGAACCGAAGTGACGTGGTAGAGCGGTCATCCCAATGCTTTTTAAAATTCTTATTTCCAGTTCTGTTGTCCAACATGTCCCATATTTGAAAGTATTCTGTGTCTTCTTTTTCTTTTATCTTCAGTGTTAGTCTGTTCATTTCTGCACAGTCTAGTATTTTTTTTAATTACTGTATTTTTCAGAGTGTAAGACACACTTTTTCCCGCTTAAAAGAGGGCGAACATTTGGGTGCGTCTTATACACCGAATGTAGCCCCGATGGCCCCATCCTTTGGCCTCTGCCTCCCAGCAATTTGCCTCCTTGCAGGAAATAGCAAACAGCCTGTTTCAGTTTCAGTTTCAGTTTCAGCACAGCCTGATTAGCACAAGCAGCTGATGGTCGGTTGGATCGGCCTCCCAACCATCAGCTGTTTCAGGCTGCAGGGATTGCCAGTGCCTATTGCCGCCTCTGCACTTCCCATTTTCGCCCCCCCCCAATCCCATTTTTTGGCTTCTGCACCAGAGGTGGGTTCCTACCAGTTCGCACCAGTTCGGTAGAACCGGTTTGTCAAATCTACCGAACCGGTTAGAAGAGGTTCCATCAGAGACAGACAAACACAGACAGACAGACAGACTCACACAGAGAGAGAACGAGAACGAGAAAGAAAGGAAGAAAGAAAGAAATAAAAAAGGAAAAAGTGAGAGAGAGATGAAAGAAAAAGAGAGATGAAAGAAAAAAAGGNTGGCCAAGACGAAGCAAGGATCAGCCCATTAAACCGAGATTGGCTCGGCTTTTCGTTTTGACCCCATAACGGAGAGATTCTCCTTGCCTTTCCAAGCTGCCCCATCCTTGACTGAACTCAGGAAAGCTAAGCCTGGTTTTCTACACGGATAGGAGACCACTAAGAGATCCCAGAGCAGAGGAGGAAGTTGAAATCCGAACCCAAATTTGTGATACCCCCTTAAAGGTGGATGTTATTCTGAATTGGGATGGGGGGGGGAGAAAGAGAGGGACGTGGTCCAGATTTCTCTTCCCACCCCCCTGAATCTGGATCCAAATTGCAGAACCATGATTAAATGCAGGGTTTTGGGGGCTGAATTTTATTCGGACCCGCTCACAAACCCACTCTTTGCTCCGTGCAGAAGTGACAGGGCCCGCTGGATCAGCGCATTAATGCACCGAGAAGAAAAAGAAACCAGCACAGCAGAAAAAGGAGGTAAGAAAAAAAACGAACAAACCAATTTTTATTCCGCCGGGCCCAGCCGGAAAAAAAAAATGATCCATTTGCAAAATAAAACACAGATATTTGGCTCCTCCTAATCCATGCGTTCCGAGCAACTATGCGCTTTTAACCTACATCCGGCCTCGCCCGTCGCACTGCGTTGAAACCACAGCTTTGGGGGAAACTGACCGAAACCAAAGAAGCCATGAATGGTGGCTTGCGGACTCCCAAGAGCCGAAAATGCACATTTGCAGTCATTTTGGGGCCAAAGGGAACACAGTTCCCCCACCCACCCACCCCCATCTCTGTTGATGCTAAGATCCTTTTTAAGGGCAGGAGATTTACTCTTCTGGGGCGCCAGATGTGCATTTGCAGCTGTTTTTGGTCTCTCTCTCCCTCCATTGCTTCGTCCAAATGAGAAGTCGGCAAAGAATTTGGAAAGCGGCTCCGAAGAATTTCGTGTTTGCAAAAAATAAAATAAAAAATTGGCCCATGTGGGAGAGAGACTTCCGGCCCAGGGATCCATCCGTTCTCTGCGGGATGAAACGGGGAGTGTGAGAAGGATTGCGTCGTTTTGGGATGTTCAGAAAATGTTCCTGACCTTTTGTTCTCAGGATTTAAATAGAGGAATGTGTGTGTGTGAGAGAGAGAGACGGAGAAGGCCCTCTGGTCTTCTCCATCGCAGAAAAATAGGCTCCGTGCTCCTTCTGCTGGTCACTCCTTGCATTTTTTATTATATATATATAATATGAATGAAAATTAATGAAAATTAATGTAGAATCTGTAACTCCTTAGCATTAGAGCGTGTTATTATAAGGCAAGTGGCAGTTGGAACAGAATTCCTTTCAGGTGGGGAGGGGGAGTAGACCGTCTACCTTCTTAGCATCTGAGAGTGTTAATATAAGGCAGCTGGCAGTTGGAACAGAGTCATTTTCAGGTGGGGGAGGGGGAGTAGAATGTCTAAACTCCCAGGCTGGATGAGACGTGCATTGGCCACGCCCATATAAGGCAACTGGCAGTTTGAGCAGAGTTCTTTTCAGGTGGGGAGGGGGAGTAGAATGTCTAGCTCCTTAGCATCAGAGCGTGTTAATATAAGGCAGCTGGAAGTTAGAACAAAGTTCTTTTCAGGGGGGGGAATAGAATGTCTAAACTCCCAGCCCACAGGCTGGATGAGACACGCGCTGGCCACGCCCATATAAGGCAACTGGCAGTTTGAGCAGAGTTCTTTTCAGGTGGGGAGGGGGAGTAGAATGTCTAGCTCCTTAGCATCAGAGCGTGTTAATATAAGGCAGCTGGAAGTTAGAACAAAGTTCTTTTCAGGGGGGGGAATAGAATGTCTAAACTCCCAGCCCACAGGCTGGATGAGACACGCGCTGGCCACGCCCATATAAGGCAACTGGCAGTTTGAGCAGAGTTCCTTTCAGGTGGGGAGGGGGAGTAGACTGTCTAACTCCTTAGAATCAGTGCGTGTTATTATAAGGCAACTGGCAGTTGGAACAGAGTTCCTTTCAGGTGGGGAGGGAGAGTAGACTGTCTAACTCCTTAGGATCAGTGCGTGTTATTATAAGGCAACTGGCAGTTGGAACAGAGTTCCTTTCAGGTGGGGAGGGAGAGTAGACTGTCTAACTCCTTAGGATCAGTGCGTGTTATTACAAGGCAACTGGCAGTTGGAACAGAGTTCCTTTCATGTGGGGAGGGGGAGTAGAACGTCTAGCTCCTTAGCATAGACGTATGTTAATATAATACTGTATTACTGATGATCTGATGATCATTCCACTCTTGCTTTCAGAGTCTTCGGCATACATTTTTTTAAAAATCGCTATTATATTGTCGCTCGAGTGTGTTTTCTCTCTTTTTTCCCCAGCACTCCAACAGGTAGAGCTCACCAGAGCCTATTTGGCTAAGCAGTCGGATGAGATTTCACTCCAGCAGTCCGACGTCGTCCTTATCCTGAATCAGGAAGAGGGTGAGTGGCTTCAGAAAGACCCCAGTGATGCAGGGCGAAATCAATTCATTAATTCTTCTTGTTTTAAAAAACCCAGAATAATATTTTTTTTATCCGTTAACGCAACGAAGGCAGGTCGCGGCTGACTTCCTGTTCTAAAATTCGCATTTAAAAGACGATTTGAATGCATCAACTCCCAGAATCCCCCAGCCAGCAAAGTTGGACTTTCAGCCCCTCACCTGAGGAATTCTGGGAATTGAAGTCCACACTTCTTAAGACTCGCCAAGGGCGAGTAAAAACTAGATTGGAGGATTGTAGTGGCGTCCTTCGCCTCCTCCAAACCAGGATTTAAATGGCTTGCTTGTACCTAGTCACACCCTTCAGCGAAAATTCAGGCTGTTGTTTTTTTTAACCTATTAATTGGAGATTCTCAGTCATATCCAAGTCATGGTTGTCCCAAAGGTGCTTTTTATTTTTAAAAAAAGAGGCAACTGGACTTTCTTGTTTTTCTTCAAAGAAGTTTCACTTCTCATCCAAAAAGCTTCTTCAGCTCAGAGCTCAAAGAACAACATTGAAGAAGCTTCTTGGGATGAGAAATGAAACCTATTCACAGAAAAACAAAAGAATTGAAGAAGCTTCTTGGGATGAGAAGTGAAACCTCTTCACAGAAAAACAAAAGAATTGAAGAAGCTTCTTGGGATGAGAAGTGAAACCTCTTCAAAGAAAAACAAAAGAATTGAAGAAGCTTCTTGGGATGAGAAGTGAAACCTCTTCACAGAAAAACAAAAGAATTGAAGAAGCTTCTTGGGATGAGAAGCGAAACCTCTTCAAAGAAAAACAAAAGAATTGAAGAAGCTTCTCTGGATGAGAAGTGAAACCTCTTCGAAGAAAAACAAGAAAATCCAGTTGCCTCTATTTTTGTTTTAAAGCCCCCTTGGATGATCTCTCAGTCCCTTCTCCATCTTCTTCCAGGCTGGTATTTGGGGGAACGCCTGCGGGACGGAGAGAAGGGCTGGTTCCCGCAAGGCTGCGCCCAGGAAATCACCAACCGCAACGCCGTTGAACTCAACGTCCAGCGCCTGGAACGGTTGCGCATCGAGACCGACGTGTGATGGCGGAATGGGTCCCGTCTCAACCCGCTCGGAGGCCAGAGCACCCGAAGGTACTTTTAAGGGCCAGGGAGTTGCCAATCC